CAGCCTGAATTCAATCCCACACTCCCACATGGTAGAAGGAAGATTCTAACTCCCACAAACTTGCCTGTAACCTCCACAGGAAGGCATGGTGCAGGTTGACCCTCCTACACACACATACACACAACCTCCCCCCACCACACGCAAATAATAATAGTAATTATAATACTATTCATAGGGGTGATTTTTAAAATTTTAAAGATACACAAAACCAAAAATATTGGCTGCTTTCCTTTCAACTCAAACCCTAAAGCAATGAAGGAAAGCGGACGTTGTACACAGAAAAATCTAAAATGCAATTTGGCCCATAGCGTTGGTGTCTTTTTTATACATAAGGTTATAAGGATGTATTCATTAATTCAAGTCTTGTATATAAAAAGAATCTCAATACGTACTGACTGGAGTGTAAAAAGACACGAAAGTGTCAAGCGAGCCTCTGAATTCTGCTTGTTCTCTCTGAGTGTCAGATAACGTGAGTCAAGAACAGCTCATAGAACCACTGATTCCCCAGGCTTCAGGCTCCCACCAGATAAAAATATCTCACAGTACATACATTTTACAATGGAATTTTATTATCGTATTAGCATAATTTTCTTTACACAATTACTCTCTAGGGAAAAGTCTTCATTGCCATGTTTTCATCTATAATGCAGCAATGATGATTTGTGAGAAGTACATCTATTTTAAAACTGTTTAATTATTTCTTTAATAGCACTATTACATTATTTTTTATTTTTATTGGAGGTTTGAAGTTGATATTTTGCTCTTAAATTTTTTCAGGACAATCTAAGCATGGCTTGAAAAGACTCTTGGGGTTCAACTGGAACTAGATAATTTAGAAAAAGTTCAAAATACTAAAACCATGCAAATGTACACTGTGTAAAATGAAAAGAAAAATGAATCAAGCTTTTGATTTTCCTTGTGGGAAATAACTTAAATTTTATGAGAAAAGGCTATTGCTGGTTTACTTCAGGGAAAGATTTTTAACTGTTTTTTCTAAAAAGAGAGACATTTTAAGACAGGAAGTTGGACCAAAATCAGCAAGCTGGCAAGGTCATGTTGACTCAGTAATCAGTGAGGTCTTTGTTTAAAGCTACTTATGAATAAATTTCTTTTTTCGTGTCAGGAAAAGTCAGAGCCTGAGTCTTTGAGCAGCTGTAGAGCATTTGACACAATCTTTCCTTTTCCAGGAGGAATTATCAGAAGGCATTAACATTTTCAAGTAAGAACTTTGGTCCACAGAAGCGGTGAGATTTAACACCATACCATGAGATTTCATCTGCATTGTGATTTTTTTGTACTTCTATTTTTAATCTTTCCCTAAATTCATTGGTTATTTGAAGAAAGGGATTAGGATGACTCGTTTATAGAGAATACTTTGTTATTGCTGCTGTACACTGTTCTTGACAACAAAATACACGAACACGTTAAGGTAGGGGACTGCAGTCTTTGTCTCAAAACGTCTACATTGAACTGTTCTGGGGGCTGAGGAGGTGGAACCTCGGTAAGAGCACTCATTGCTGTGGCAAAGGACCTGGTTTTCATTCTCAACACTGATGGATTCTTGCCCCAGTCAGAATAACAACATGAAGGGCACAAACAACACAGGTAGGGAGGGAGACTCTATTCACTGCTGGTGGAAGGTGGAAGGTGGAAGGTGGAAGAAAAACTAATATCTTCACTGTGGACATCAGTACAAAGATGAAAACTAAAATTGGGACTACCACATGACCCAACTTTACCGCTCCTCCACATCATACCAGAGATGCATCTGTGCTTATTACTGCTCTATTCATAGTAGACAAGAAATCAACCAGTCCAAATGCCCATCAACAGATGACGTGATAAAGAAAATATGGTCTGTATGCACGGTTAATTTTTCATCCATAAAGAAAATTAATCATACCATTTTCAAGGAAAATGGATGGAACTGATGCGTATTGTTGAGCAAAAAATGTTGAAAAAGAGAAGAGCAAATAGCACAGTCTTTCTCTGATACAAGGGTCGTAGATCTTAATCTGTATGGAAACCATGTGAATGTTCTATACCTGAAGAGAGTGCACATCATAAAACTAGACAGGGGACACGAGAGGGGAGAGACTAAAGGACATGTGTGAGATGAAAGCAGAAGGAGGTATTGTAGGAGAACAAACGGGACCAGTGGGAGAAGCAGAGATGGGAAACCGGAGATGGCGAGGGGGATTCACAAGAGATCAACAAGAACAATGAAAGAAAGCATAGTCAAACTCTTCCTTTGGATAATAATTTTAAGTGACTAATCTGGAGGACAGGACAGTATCACTTACTGTGTTCTGTGCTTTCATATTCTCTTTAATTTCAGTGGCTGCAGAAATAAAATTATAATCAAATTCTGCACAATGGACATTTTGTTTTCTTTCACTGGATGTTTGTTTGTTTGGTTTGGGTTCTGATTGTTTTTGAGATTGTAACTTAGTTATATTTCTCCCTTTCCCTTTCCTCTCTCCAAAGCTTCCCATAGACCCCTCGCCACTCTCCTTCAAATATGTGGCCTCTTCTGTTATTTCATGCCTGTGTGTATTTGTATATACATGTATATTCCTAAATATAAATATAACCTGGTGAGTTCAAGGAGGACAACAATACGCATACCAAACTGACTATTAGGCATTAGGCCCATTAGGCCTCAACCCTACACACACACACACACACACACACACACACACACACACAACTATAGGCAAGTGATGGAAGTTGGGAGCAGGACAGGTGCTCCTCCGCAGAGAAAAGCCCACCAATCGGTTGTCCAATAACAAATGGTCAGCCCTGAGAAGACACATACAAGTAACACTGGCTGTTTTTGTAGGATGGCGTGTTAACTATTCAACACCCAGGGAGCCCTAATACTCCTGTGATACTGCATTGACGTCAGTGTGGGACAAAGAATGGCAGGCTTAGTTTCTGTGCCCTCGGTCTGGATAAAGGAGATGTTATTGGACTAGAGATTAAAAATTGTCACTCAGCAAATTTTTCCTTTTCTTCCACCTTGCAGACTTTTTATTTAAGATATCCCAGCTGGCCTTTAACTTTCTAACTCAGCTAGGAAAAAGGGGGCAGTGACTGTGAACTTGGGAGTCAGTGCTCGTGGGCTTTGTTTTTACCTAAGAAGTAAATACAAAAGACACATGTGCTCTATCATCCGCCTTTCTTTTTAAGGTTGGTAGATCATGGGGTTTCAGTTCCTCTAACTTCCTGCACGAGCTATGTGAGCAACTGCCTCACTTCCTCTAGAGACAGTGTAATTTAACAGGAGATTCTTAATCCTCTCCTCAGAACTCCTGCTTCTGGAGACGACTGTGCACACCTCTGAGGAAGTGGAAGACACTGATTTATGTGTTCTTCCAGCCTGCCACTGGGTCATTATGTAGATTGAAAAGGCCTTTAAATATTATAGTCACTGCTTGTATTATGAAGAACTACATACCGACATTTCTATTGAAGTTTATTAACCACTCTCAACAGTGGGGTAAATTATAAAATTATTGAAGGTCTAAGAACTTTTTCTGTTCTATGTATATGATTCAGGTACATGTGTATGCATGCGTATTCATGTGTGAGTTCAGGCACATGTGTGCAGTACACATGTGGATGTCAGAAGACCTCAGTCCTCACCTTTACATTGTTTGGCACGGGGAACCTTAGCTGTTGGCCACAGCTGCCCCACATACTTCTTAGGATGTCACATTCTCCACTTTCCCATCTTGCCCTAGCTGGGGTTACAGGCTCACTCTCACTCCCAGCTCTACATAGGTCCTGGGATTTCCACCAGAGGTCCTAGAGGGCAAGAACTTTCTTTGGTGAGCCATTTCTCCTGCCAAGGGCCACGTTTTTAATTCACTTCTTAGCATAATAAAAGGTCTGTCTCATTCAAGGAGAAAACTTTCTAAAATATGAAAATGAGAGTAATGTAGAATTAAAAGACTATAACTATATAACTAGAATTCCCTTTAATCCAGAAATTAAAAGAACTCTAAATATATAGATAGAAATGTTAACATTTTCAAACAGCAGGATTTACTGAACTAGAACTCTATGGGAGCAGGAATTTTGGGGAGTTTTATATGATGATAATTATTGACAGTTCGTTGTGACCTAACCAAAGATTTTCTTGGTGATACATTCAGGCCCGACTTTCAATATTAACCTTATAATTTTATTTCAGTTTAGAGGTTTTCAAAATTTTCCATAGTAGTAATATCTCAAACTTGTAAATTATACAATGTGACCCTTTAATTGTGGCGTCAAAATAACATAGTGACATCATCAAACGATAACATTCTTTGCATTGTGTCTTCTTCAGTTTCTCTCTCTCTCTCTCTCTCTCTCTCTCTCTCTCTCTCTCTCTCTCTCTCTCTCTCTCTCTCTCTCTCCAATGTCTATTACATTTTCCTGGCTATACTGGACTTGCTTTATAAACCAGGCCGGTCTCAAACTTGAAGAGGCCCCCTGCCTCTGCCTTTCTAGTGCTGGGATTAAAGTGTGCACCACTACAGTGAGCTTCTTTGGGATCCTTCTAAGCCATGACCTTTATATATAAAACACCATAGACAGTGACCTTTTAAACAGACTAGCCCCCCAAAAATTTGTTCTTGAAATGGCTCCACTGTCACAATGAAATAAACGTGTTCCTCGTGTGCAAATGTCTCATACACCCTCTTACATGGCTGGAGTCCAACAGCTATCCTGTGAAAGTAAATGGATATTGATCACAGGTTTCATTCTACCACCAAAGCTAGAGTAAAAAGCCCATGAGTTCTAGATTGTAGGTTACAGTGTCTAATACAACCCGAGATAAGCAAGGCAGTGCTCCGTGGGGGAGCAGTGTTCTCTGGGAGAACTCATGTTTTGTGTTTTGTGTTCTAGCTTGTAGGTTACAGTATTTAATACAACCCGAGATAAGTAAGGCAGTGTGGGGGCGCAGTGCCCTCTGGGAGAACTCATGTTTGTGCTACGTCCTTCCCCAGGATCTGTCACTGCGAAGGAGATGAGGAGAGCCCGCTCATCACACCCTGTCGCTGCACAGGAACCTTGCGCTTTGTCCACCAGTCCTGTCTCCACCAGTGGATCAAGAGCTCGGACACTCGATGCTGTGAGCTCTGCAAGTATGACTTCATAATGGAGACCAAGCTCAAGCCTCTTCGGAAGGTACAGTGTGGGCTGTGGGCAGAACCGGAAGGGGAGGAGCATGCAGAGCAGGCTTGTTTCAAACCTGGCTTCCTCTGCCAACATGCTAATGTTTATGGGGGGATGCTTGTCCTATAGTGGACTCAATGGGTAAAATGCAGCCGTGTCTGCAGGTAAATCAGTTTATTCTGTTTTATATAGTGTGACTTCTAGATTTTTTTAATGGTGTACAGGTCCATAAATGAATAGAGAAACATTTAACTGTGTATAAATGAAAAATACAATTATAATTCAATGTAATTAATGAGAAGCTTGAGAATTTTAATCTTTTGAGGTCAGTATCCAAAGCTAGATGATAGAATCCATGAAATAACATGAACTCACTTGACTTTTTAAAAGCTGACTATTAGATAATAAGAGAATGATTTACTCTATAAGATGTGGCCTGGATTATGTTTAATTTCTTTTAACATTTGGTCAGATGTTATATGAATCACCAGAGGGGGTACAAAGAAAGCCACTAATTTTCTATACGGTTCATCAAGTTGCAAGAGAAATAGAAATATATTTTTAAACTGTAAGATTTATCTCCAAAGTCTTCATCTGTGGTAATTCTTTTATAGAACATGGTAGTAAGACTGTGAGCCAAGAATAAAATTAACAGTCTCCAACAGAACACTTGTCAAGGGCTCGTGTAAGAGTGATGTGCTGCGTCCATTCATCCTCAATCCCCGGAATTTGCCATTTAACTTCATCTTTTGCCTAACTGCAGCCTTGCATACACACACGCACACACAAATGCACATGCACACACATACACATATTTAAAACATATCTATGTATATAGATGACTCTATTTCCAAAGGGACTTTGGGGACTGCAGTTTAAGTAATGAATTGGCCCAGGGCTGATTTTCTATTTAAATTTAATGCAGAGCTAACACAGAGAGAAAGAGCAATGCATAGAAATAAAGGCGAGGCGTTCCGGCGTGAGAAGAGATGAGCACAGACAGGATTTCCCACTCGGCGTCTAATGGGGGTGGAGACTAGCCATGTAGCCACTGGAGTTCTTCATCCATTCTCTAAAGTAGAGAGAGGGGGAGTAACATGCCCTAATTTTACAGTAGACTTCATTTTTTAAATTTGTAAATGGTATATAGATCTCAAAACTATGTACAAATCACCTTTAGGGAGATGCCTTTTTTTTTTTTGTTTTAAACTCGGGATGACCCGAATTCCAAAGGTGACTCTCTGATTCTCTGGGCCTCAGAGCAATCATTGCAGAAGTAGGCCATGATGAATACTCTACACTCTCGCTCTATATGCTAAGCAGAAACTGGACTGAAGGAGCTGGATGACATGCTTGTGAACCTTTGAATTTTCTTTTTGTCCCTCCGAGAATTTTAAGTTGTTTAACAGCATCTGTGGCCTTCCTTGCCCCTTTCCCATCCTCTACCCACACAAAATTTTCGTTCCGGCTTAATCAAGCATAATATTTGAGTTTGAAAGCACGAATCTAGAAAAATAACATACTCAAGTTGTCTCTTTTATATTAAGCCTCCCAACACACACACACACACACACACACACACACACACACACACATTTATAGTGGGATCATAACATATTAAACATAGTAATGGGAAAGAACTCAAAACCTATTCTAGCGAAAGAACTCTTTAAATATAACTTAGGACCTTTATTAATATGTCTTGATAAGGAACTTACAACTAACCTGTTTGTAGCTGGAAAATAACAACAAAGCCTCATGGGAAAGTACAGTGGCATATGAGTTTTGTCTATAAACGCCCCTAAAATACATATTTTGGAGCCACTCAGCTGGGATATTTTCAGGGAGAGCCTCTGACCAAATTCCATCTTGTTCAGTATTTAGTATTTTAATAAAGCTTGCTTTAATTTGGCTCAAAAGGCAGAACTGGTTTTTATCTGGCAAATCTCAGGATTAACAGTAACCAGAATAAGAAAATACATCTGTGCATATTCATACAATGAATTTGTTGATCAACTCAACAGGAACCTAACTGCTTATTAGTGAAACAGCATAACTTCTTTTACCAAAAAAGGAGCATTTCTTTTGACCATTAGTATTGACAAAAGACATTGTTTAAATATCCTTCATATTTGATAGCATAATGTGTACAGGGGGAGTTATTCTAACAGAGATATGCTCGTTGGTAGCCCACAGATGTGTTTTATATAAGTCATTAAACTTGAATACTATTTATCAACTTTTAACTATGTGATTATTTCAGGTAATATTTTACATAATAAATTTTGTATATCACAACACCTGGCTTGACTGGAACTACATTCTGATATGGCTACAGAGATGGGATGAGATGGGAATGGAATGCTGCTACTGTGATCTGCTTTTGAGTTCTTGGCATTTCTCGCCCCTCATGTGATTTTGAAGTCCCCCCCCACACACACCACCTCTGTTTGTACAGCTGTGCTCTGGAAAGAGGATGTGAATATTCAAATCCTATGTAAGGCAGGATTCCTATACATGAGACATGAGTACAACCTATCCATCCTTTGTAACACGAGAGCCTGCTTAGGGGTTTTTGTCCCACCCAGTACCCCCCAGCCAGTAAGCCCCCAAAGAAAATCACACAGAGTCTACATTAGGTTATAAACTGATTGGCCTTTTGATAGGATAGCAGCTTAGATAGGCGGAGTAGACAGAACAGAATGCTGGGAGAAAGGAGGCAGGCAGAGAGCTGCCCACCATGAAGCTGCCAGGTCAGACACGCTGAATATTTCCTGGTAAGCCACGACCTCGTGGTGACATACAGATTATTAGAAATGGGTTGAATCAAGATGTGAGAGTTAGCCAAAAAGAGGCTAGAACTAATGGGCCAGGCAGCAGTTTAATTAATACAGATTTCTGTGTAATTATTTCGGGGGCTAAGCTAGCCGGGAGGGATGCAGCCTGCTGCTCCGCATTTACTACAGAGTGGTGCCCACATGGTCCACCACTCCTTTTACAACAATCCTTCCAGGACATTCAAAACCTATGGGAAGAAGTATTTTAAGTTCTCATTCTCCTCTCTCTAAAAGTATGAAACACAGCCAAGGACTATCGGAGGCAGTGCCTTCAGTGTTGTTTTAGAGTGTGAGGTGGTTCAAAACAACATGTAAAAGGAATTTTAAGCTGTTCTAGGTGGTTTGTTTTGATGGGATGGCAGTTGAAAAGCATATTCTTTGGGCCGTTTTTGAGTATTCATAAAGAATGCCATGCATAACATTTGGTGAGAATATATTTGAAGTGCATCCAACTGAGTAATTCCATTACACTTTCCAGCATCTAAATACCAAGTACATCAAACAATTAATTTAGCTAATGATTCTGGATCTCTACCATCAGTAGTGAAGTGAATGGAAGTGAAGTCTGTGGTTAGATGAGATGATTTCTCCAAAGAAATCTTCATAGTCAGTCTTCATAAGCTGATGGAGCTTGGGGCTTGACTGTCTCTAGAGATACCAGTAAATCCTTACCTCTTTGATTGTCGTTACTACACCAAAAACTACAGTTAGCAAAGTCATCAAGGGAGTCTAATGTTTGCAGAAGAAAATCTTTAAAGTCAAAATAAAACGAAGGGTTCATTCCAGAGAACGCAAATCCCCATCATCTTTAAGTCAGTAGCTCAACTACTTTTATGACAATCAATAAAAGTCCCATTAACTAGCTTACTTAGGGCCAGGAGAGACTCTCAGAGCCCAGGAAAGAAGGAAAAAGTCACAAATAAAGCACAGTGATGAGCTAGTGAAATCGGGAAACGTTCACACTGCTGATTAAGAAGCATAAACTAAACTTCCATTTTGAAGCTGAAGTCTGGGATTCCAAACTGAATCTCCCTGAATGAGAAGCCAGGTGCTGACATAAAGCAGGTTCTCAGAGACAGCAAGTACCACCGCTGACTTCTGTTCTGCCCTGAAATATATGTGCACATGAACCACATGACAAATGCGGAATGTATCTACTTATGTTTCATCTCATTTAACTAGTTCACCCACATTAAGCCTGTTTTGAGTAAATATGTGGATCCCATTTTAAGTAGGAAGAAAAGAGTCATCATATCAAACCTAATGCCACACACTGCAAATATCTTTGTACTCACTTCATGGTACATGACAGTCACCTAGCTCTTGGGTTCTCCTTAAGAACCATAACATTTGTTTTTCTGGGTGTGGAGGCACAAGAAACTGAGGCCAAAGGATCAAGGGATGAATGCTACCCTAGCAACATAGGGAGATGTTCTCCTTAAAAGACTGAACGATAGAATGTCTTCAATTTTTTTAAACTATTTCTGATTGAAATGTTTAAAAAGAAATCTTTCTACAAACAATTATTTTTCTAGACTATTTCTCCTTCAGCCTAGAAGAAACACTTCACCCAGACTCCTTGCTCTAAGAAGCTCAGTTACATCAATTTAAACACAGCCAAACCCCGAGTGCAATAATTCAAAACTTTATTTTTTTCTTCACTGTTTTTCTCAGTCTTTTTTCTTTTTTATTTTAATTTTATTTATTTATTTATTAAAAATTTCCACCTCCTCCCCACCTCCCATTTCTCTCCCACTCTTCCCCTCCCCCTCCCTTTCCCTCTCCAGTCCTAAGAGCAGTCAGAGTTCCCTGCCCCATGGGAAGGCCAAGGTCCTCCCACCTCCATCCAGGTCTAGGAAGGTGCACTGCCAAACAGACCAGGCTACCACAAAGCCAGTCCATGCAGTAGAATCAAAACCCAGTGCCATTGTCCTTGGCCTCTCAGTCAGCCCTTATTGACCGCTACATTCAGAGAGTCCGGTTTGATCACATGCTCCATCACTCCCAGTCCAGCTGGCTTTGGTGAGCTCCCATTAGATCAGTCCCACCATCTCAGTGGGTGGACGCACCCCTCATGATCCTGACTTCCTTGCTCATGTTCTCCCTCTTTCTGCTCCTCATTAGGACCTTGGGAGCTCAGTCCAGTATGCCAATGTGTGTCTCTGTCTCTATCTC